GGAAGTGAAAAAGAAGTTAACTTCCCTATTTATTCCTAGCATGACTGCAGCTCTGCTTTGGGTCAGGAGCTCCAACTTAGGCTGGCTTTCGGGGAGTTATTCTCCTATTAGGGTAGGTCTAAAAACAAATTTGCTTTCTCTCTATTTTCTTCCCTGGAGTGGTGATAGAGTGAACATGACCAAGAACTAATTGCATCCGCTGGAAAGCGAAGACAGTGCTCTTGGAGGGGCCTGACATCCGATCACCCAGCTCTGCAGAGTCAGGGCACCAGAGCTAGGCAGTGACCTTTTTTGTTTTGGAGCTGTCAGGCTGTCAAGAGTCTGTGCAAGAGATTTTCTAGAGGTCCTGCCTTTGAATATATTTCCTCAGGCCCCAGGGAGGCAGGAGAAGGCTCCTCCTTAACCACACGAGTTTAGGTGTGTACTTAACTGCATTCAGAGGGCTAAAGTGGCTTGATCTTAAACTTGGCTGAAGGGCTTCCATGGGCTTGGCTCTGTCTTGAGCTCTTTCAGAAGAGCCTCCAACAGTCTGCTCAAGCCTTCAGTGGCTGTGGTTGGGGTTAGATGCTCTTGGTAGAGCAGTGTAAAAGGTGCAGCCGGGGTGGAGGAGTCATACAGGCACAGGGAAGTGGAGGGGCTAAGGATCGCCTTGTCCTGAGCCTGCACAGGGAGCTGTTGTCTCCTCTGCAGGCCCTGTCTGGTTTTAGCTGGCAGTATCAAAGCATGTGTTTATGTGCAGGCTGTGGCTATCGCTCCATCTCGACTCTGGATTAAGGGTGGGATGCAGATTGCTATCTGCCAATCTTGTTTTGGCTGGTCACAGCCAGCCTGCAGTCAGTGTGACCTCTGCTTCCCAAGGAAACCGTGGCCTGTTTGGAGAGGCAGAGAACAGATCAGGCGTGAAGGGAAGAAGGCAAAGGGAGGGGAGAAGGAGCTGCGTGTCGGCAGTCATGCCCAGCTGCCTGTGGCCTCTGGCATGTACTGGTCTTTTGCTGTAACAGGGGAGGTATGCCTGTACGCATAAATACCTGCACCCTTGCAGGGTGCAGACCTCTGTGTTGAGATGAGGCAGGTGGGGGAAGGCAGGGAGCAGAGTGAGCACAGGGCAAACAGGTTGGGGCAGGAGGGTGTGTGTGTGTGTGAGGGTGTCTCCTTGGGTCCCAGCTGCCACATCCTTTCTCATCTCCTTTTTGAGGCCTGATACTTCTTTGCATTCTGCTCTTCCTATCCCCAAATTGAAGCGTAGATGCCTGGTATCCCTTGGTGTGTGCTGGGACTGGTTCTTGCTAAAGAGCAGCCCCCAGGGATCACAGGGGCTCCCGTCAGTAACAAATCATGGTGACACAAGGGTGAAAGGGGTAACTGCTGCTCACAGACTCTCACTTGAAGCCACCTCTCTCCCCAAGGACTGGAAAATGTATAATACAATGCAAATGGTCTTCACAGGCAAATGAGGGAAATAAAATCGGGTCTGAAATCTGCGCAGAGCTGCTCTGAGGAGCAGAGCAGGTGGGTGGTGGGGATGGATGCCTGCGTCCAGGAGGAGTTGGCATGGGAAGGGGAAGTGCTACCTCCCAGACCTACTGGAGGTTTTTTGAAGGAATCTGCAAGCATGTAGACAGAAGGTTTGAGCAGGATTCATAGGAGGAACGCAGTTACAAAGGTTTCTCGTTAGCAGTGACAAGTGAGAAGGTTCTTGAATGGAAATGTGGTTAACATGGGGAGCAGAGGTTAAAAGTAAATGGTCAGCTCTTAGTGTAGAGGCATGCTGGCATTGTTCTCTTCAGTGCTTACTCCCATTTTTCCACACCTTTAATGGATATATTGAAGTGAAGCTGGCTGACTGTTGGCCTTTGCTGGCGACCTTCTTGTAGGAACCAGCTGAAGGAGCTTTGTTGACTGGACAATAAAATATAGCAGGCAGATCAATGTGGATAGATGTGGAGTGATGTATGGGAGAGGCAAGGAGGTAATCCTAACTTTGCTTGTACAGTGAGGGTCTCCTTGTTCCTTTCTACTACTAAAGGAAATCTTGGGTTTATGATTGACCTAAGCAAGTGTCTCTCTACAAGACAATCTGTTCCCAACAGTAGAAAAGAAGAGAACTGCTCAAATATCGCTGTGTTGCTGCGTACATCTGTAGTGTGCTTGTCCTAAACACTGTCTCATTCCTCTCCTCTCTCATCTCCAAATATGAACAACAGAACAGGAGAAGTTGCTAAGGAGGACACATTTAAAGGTTTGGGTATAATGACTTCTGTATGGGAAACTGAAAATGGTTGGGATTCCTCACCTGGAAGAGGAGTGAATCAGAGCTGTGGTGGTAACCGCGGATAGTGTTGGAAAAGTCAACGTGGATGGACAGGCCACAGGTCTCCCTTCAGGCTGGAGGTGACAGACAAATGAGGCTAGCAGGAGGCAGAGGGTAAATGAGAGGGTTCATGGAAGTCAAAGTCCATTAAGGATTATTAAATGCAAAGAGACTACCATTTCTGGGGTGAGGGTTTTCAGGACACTGGAGAGTTTCTGTAAATTGCTGTCATCTGCAGAGGGGTTCATGGGCGAGGGTACCCAATGCGGCTGTTCTACAGTCTGTGTTTCCATGGTGTCTGTGATATTGGATCCTCGTTCAGTGCTGGATATTGGAGTTCACCTATTTTTGCTTCTAAAGCCTTAAGTTTGCGCGTGAACATTGAGAAGGGCAGAGGTAGTGACTGGACCTCTTACCCAGGTTCCCTCTTCTGTCAGCCTCAAGCAAAGTCCGTTATCCGTGTCCTTGTTCTGTGGTAACTCTGCAGACCGATGCTCTGTGCTCTCCTGCACTTGAGCAGTGGCAGGTGCTGGAGACGATGTTTCTTTGATGTGTGATGCTCACCCAGCAGTGTCCTCTTGCACTAGGTGGTAACAAATATTTACAGAACACAGTAATCCAGGTGCTTTTCTAGTGCTGAGGGTGTCCAATACGTGCATTCTTGGTCCACCTTCAGTCCTGGAGTGGTTGTGACAAAGCAGAGATTTGTGATGTCTCAGCATCGTTTTATTCCATCCCTTTTAAGTGATTCTGGTTGCAGCTCTCTGTCCAGGGAGGTATTTTATCACATGATGGCTTCTTCTGAGAAAGTTTCTGCTGAACAGCACTTTTAGCCATGCACTGCCTTCATGGGCTCCCCCTGGGAGATACAGTCATCTTCCAGCTGGATTACGGTACATGTCCACAAAGGATTACGTTTCCTGGAGGCAGCATAGCTGTGCCTAGCCTTATATGTCTTCTGCAGTGCTCCAGTTGGGATGGAGACCAAGCGGCTGCAGCGTGAAAAGAGAATTACAGAGAATGGCTAGTTTCCTTTACAGATGTCCTGTCTCATCTCTTGACTCTGCTTACACAGCGGTACTTTCTGAGCGTAGGTCTTGCAGCTATAGTTGTGTGGCTTGGCACGTTTGTTGAGGGCAGAGCGGGGTCAGGAAACCGTGTGAGACTTCAGTAAATGCTTTGGAGTTAGACGACTCAAAGGAGCAAAATAGGTTTTAACCTTGCTGCCTGGGGATCTTGCCTGCAGTAAGCTCATGCAGTCACTTGAACAAACCCAACCACAACCCGTCACGTCTCCAGCTCCTGGGGGAAGTGCTGACCCTCCTGTGGGCTTGGCATCCAAGTTCACATGGGGTGAGAGTGCCCGTGCTGTGTTTATAAAGCGTCTGGGAGCACCCCTGCTTGCTGTTTGTCCCCTAGTGAATGGCCCTGTGGGGCAGCAGATGAAGCCGTGTAGAAGAGTGCTCATCTGCCCTCTCTCTTCCAGGCTTATCTGGAGTCCTTCTACAAGTTCTGCAAGGTGCTGGGAGGTACCACGGCAGATGCCATGTGCCCGATCCTGGAGGTAGGTCTGGAAACCCCCATAGCTGGACGGTATTGTCGTGATACTCATTGCTCTGTGCTCAGGCCCAGCTTGCCTGCCAGCATTAAGGATGCTAAAGATACTCTTCAGCATCCCCATGCACACCCTGCCTGCTCCCTGGGAGACCGAGGAAAACACTGCCTGCACATGGCTTTGGACAGGTTCGGTTCCCCAGTCCTGATCTTGCCGGGTGCTGACAGATCTGTTGCCTTCGTGGCAGCATCTTCATCCTCTCACATGGATAACGAGCTGGAGAACAACCAGAGCTGTTCAGTGCACAGCCCATCTCCATGCCAAGGCTAGCTGTGGGATGTGCAGGGCTCAGGGGCAGTAGGTGAGAGAGACTCCTTGACCTGGACAGGGTTCTGCTCAGTGATTTGGCTTGTGCCTGGCGTGGGAATTTCCTCACCTGACTGCTCCCCAGGCATCAGCTGCTGGGCATACTGGGAGCCTGCACATGTAGCCTGCCATGGCTGAGCACCAGATAGCTGTATGTGTCCCAGGCAGCTTGCTCATGCTGCCCTCTGATGTGGCTCTGTTCAGAGCAGCGTCGGTATCTGCTGGCCTCTGGCAAAGATGCTGCACCCTGAGGTGAGCCGCTCTTTTCCCACAGTTTGAAGCTGACCGGAGGGCCTTCATTATCACCATTAACTCATTTGGTACTGAGCTGTCCAAGGAGGACCGAGCAAAGCTGTTCCCACACTGCGGCAAGCTCTACCCTGAGGGCCTGGCTCAGTTGGCCAGAGCAGATGACTACGAACAAGTCAAAAATGTTGCTGACTACTATCCTGTGAGTGCTTTGGGGACCGGTGCAAGGACCTGCTCTGGATCAGAGCTTCTCAAGGATCGGGGGGGACCTTGTGGATTCACAGCCTGGGGTGGGGGGGCCTTATTTTCTGCTGCTACTGTTGGACCTGTGCTCTGCTTGACCAAAGTGGAGTTGGCTTGCTGGAGCTCTTGCGCCAGGGATGCTGTTGGTTTCTTAGTCATGGCTGTCATTGCAGTGGTGATAGGGAGACCAGGCGTGCCCGACCTAGGGTGTGGGGACTGCCCTCGCCACCAAACCCTTGAGGTATCGGTGTGGTAGCAATGACAGTCTCTTTGGCTGGCTGGGGGGGGAAACCTTTCTTCAGCGAGAAGTGGTATGCCACATCTCCAGTCCTAATGGGTCACTGAGCTCTGGTTCAGTCGCAGGGGAGATGCTGACCTGGGAGGACACATTGCGATGTGTTTGGGTTCCTTAAGCTGCTCTTGTGCATGGCTGCGGGCCTGTTTGGAGTCAGAGAGCTCAGTGTCTCCTTGCTGAAGCAGCTGGGGCATGTGCCAGTGTTTGTGGGCACAGAGGCCTGGCCCCAACACTCCGGTTTGTACATGGAGGGGTCTGTACCTGGTATATCCTCCCTGCAGACTCAAAGTGACGACACGGCTTTGAGAACTGGGCACTTCAGAGAAGGGGTAGGATTTCTGGCTGGACAAGCTCACAGATTTTAAATAAAGGCTTTCTCTGCCTTACGGGGGATTGCCTTCAGCCAGTGTGTGTGCAGTGCAGCCTCGGCAGCATCCCCTTGCCAATGCTCATGTGTGCACAGGGCAGACTCTTGGCTTCTGTGTCCTCTGCTGACCTGGCATGGTGGCTGGGGTGTCTGTTTGATGTACAGGGCCCAGGAATGCTGCTGAACTTGGAGGGGTTTGGGTATATCCTCTTGTAACGTCTTCCTGCAGGAGTACAAGCTGCTGTTTGAAGGGGCTGGCAGCAACCCTGGAGACAAGACCCTTGAAGACAGGTTCTTTGAGCATGAGGTGAGTGAGCCCCGAGACGCTTCTCAGCATGTGCCTACCTGTGCCGCTTCCAAAGCTCAGGGGAGCAGCAAGCTTGGCTCCTGCCCTGTCAGCAGTGCTGTGGATGAACAGAGTTTTGGGGAAGGGAAAGAATGCTAGCCCTCGGCTCCAGTGAGGGGAATGGGGGCCCGGCATGGTGCTCGGTCCGTGTTCTCACCCAGACAGATTAGAGCAGTGTGGGAGGCAAGTCTGGGGCTGCTGGTGGGTATTTGGTCCATTGATAGCAAAACCAGAGTGTAATTATGTGGGAAAAGAGGATTTTCAAAGGTCAGAGCCTGTCCTGAGCCATGTGCTGTAGGTTAGAGCTGCCCTGAGGACCTAGAGAGGTGCGGAGCAGGATACCTGTGCTGAGCCCTGCAGCCTGCTGGGGAAGTCATGGGACCTCCCAAGGTGCTCCATGCTTGCTTTGACCAGCTCCTCCCATCTGAGGTGGACAAGTGACATGTCCTCCTCTGGGCTTTCCCCAGGTGAAGCTGAACAAGCTGGCCTTCCTCAACCAGTTCCACTTTGGAGTCTTCTACGCCTTCGTGAAGCTGAAGGAGCAGGAGTGCCGCAACATTGTGTGGATCGCAGAGTGCATCGCCCAGCGGCACAGGACCAAGATCGACAACTACATTCCCATCTTCTAACCCTGCTCTGCTCCTGTCCAACCTGCCCGCCCCTGGAGTCCGGAGGGACCCCTGTCTAACTCCCTGAGTTATCCCTTGCCCAGACTCCAGGGATGTCCCATCTGTGGAACTGGCTCAGATGAGGAAACTGTACAGTTGCTAGTTAAATTATTCACAAGCTGAAGTTTGAGTTGCGTGTGCTGTGAGGGGTCCGGAGGGACCAGTGGCACAGGCTTGGCCCTGTGTAGCAGGAGGGACGCCTCCTGTTGTGTATCTAATAGTCCCTGTGTTGCTGTACTAATCTGCTGTATGCGCTTATGCTCGTAGAGCAAGCACCAGCCGGGGGGTTGCTGCCTCCAAGGGGTTCCCACCGCCGCAGAGGAACGCATTAGGTCTGCCATGGCTGGGGGTCCTCTCTGTCAGTACTCTGCAAGCCTCCTAGTCAGTGTTGTTCCTGTGAAATTTAGTTTGAGTGTGATTTGTAGCGTAGCCCATGCTGCTGTGCAATCCCTGCATCCCCGTGTAGCTAACCCTGACCTGGGGGAGACTGAGCAGTCCTGGTCAGGACTGGAACGGAGCCTGTGGGAATGCGAGGGCAGAGCCAGAGGGCTTGTGGAGCACGCTCCTCCCCGCTCCAGCAGCATTTGCACTAGTGCAGCCTCGCCACGTCCTCAGGAGCAGCCCTCATCAGTCTCCCTCCTGCCCTGCAGCTTGAAAAGACTCCATAAGCTGGCTGAGCTCCTTCCTCCCCTGAAGACCCACAGCTTGGAGCCGACTGTCACAACCATGCAAAAGTCGGAGCTCCTTTTGGCTCTACAGACAGTGCTGGACCCCTGCACCACCTCGGGGCAGACAGCCAGGGTGGTGCAGCCTCCTGGAGCCGTACGGGCATATCTGGCCGTTGGGCAGAGCAGCCCTTGGGTCCGAGCACCACTCGGTCACCCCGATGAGTGCAGAGGGCAGCTGTGGGCAGAGATGCCCCATGCCCTGTCCAGGCCCTGCCTGTCTGTGGTTAGGAGGTGGGAGCCAACCCTTGGGCATGGCGTGGCAGCTCCGCTCCTTGCTGCTTGAGGTCTGGGAGATGCCCTGTGGTGATGTGGCAGCGGAGAAGCCTCGCTGGTGGGAAGCACGTGCTTGGTGCTGCTGCTGCGAGGGATCGATGGAGAGCGGCTCCATCCCAGCTTGTGCTGTGGTCACCTCTGCAGTGTTTGTTAACCCATGACCCCCTCCTCTCTACACCAATAAATACCTGCCTACTGCACTGTGCTCTCCCTCCTTACTTGGGTGCCTGCTCCCATATCCCCAAGAGGAGCCTCCGTCAGCTGCAGGGCCTCCTACCCAGGGAATGTGGTATTTGCAGTAGCGGAGCCTGGTGTGGCTTCTGCATGACTTGGGGCACTTGTTTCTACCACAGGCAGGGGGGTCGTGCCACCCCTTGGGTGGCCCTGGGCACTCACTCCAGCTCAAGCTGCGTGCGATGCCTGCTCTGTGGGTGCAGCTGGGTGCCGGGCTGGTGGGTGCCCAGGAGATGTAGCCCTCGCTGCTCGTGGAGCCGTGTGGGAGTGAGCCATGCGGTTAGGGAGCTGCGTGGCATATCCCCTGGCTTTGCTAAGCTTGTCCCCCTGCGCCTAGGCTTCCTGCCTGGGGCTGTCCGTGTGTGGCACCGTCACCCCTTCCCATCCCTGGCCCAGCAGAGCCACGGAGTCAGAGCAAAGCAAAAGGAAGCCTTGGGGGTAGGGGTGGGGAGTAAGGGGGAGCGGGTGCAAGCTCTTCCTGGCAGGCTGGCCCCTTCTCCGGGGCTGCCTGTGGCACCTGCTGCCCCACACAAGGCTCCTGCCGCGGTGCTCGATGCGGTGCCGGCTGTGACCCAGCTCAGCTCTGCCCGCAGGCATCCCTGACCAAGCATCGCAGCGCTGCACCGCAGAAGGAGACTGCCAGAGCCCAGTGGCATATCAAGAACAGATTTATTTAAAAAGTGACAATCACGTAGCTCATCTCGTGAAGAGCTCTGCAGCCTGGCCTCGGCCCCTGCGCTCACCAGGAGCACGTGGAGTGTGTAACGAACGGCAGGGAGGCAGGGGCTGGCACGGCAGGGGCCGCAGGGTCCCGGGGCTGACCCAGCCAAGAGGCGATTCAGACAAATGCTTGCAGCTCCGACAGCAGTGAGGAAGATGTCGGGTAGCTGAGAAACGTCCGAGGTACATCCCAGCCCGTGGTGCAGAGCCGCAGAGTCAGGCGGGGGTGGCCCCCTTGGAGGATGCACGGTTAGAAAAAATATAAAAACAAGGTCTCTAGAAAATGTTGATTCTCGCACAATAGAAAATAGATCTGCCTGATTTTGGAAAGCAATTTGGTTTTTAACATCTAGTGCTGATTGTTCCCCCGCGGTGCAGGAGGGCCATGCTGGCGGCAGCGCCCGCGCTCGGGGGCTGGTGTGCCTGGAAATCCCGGGAGAAGGCTCGCTCCTGCCCCACAACCGCATGTGGGCCGAGGTCAGGCCTTCTTTGCGTCGTCGTGGTGCTCTCGCCGCAGCGCTCGGGGCAGCTTGGGGTTGATGAAGAATCCTTTCAAGAACAAGTCTCTGACGAAATAGGGCAGGTAGCGGTGTATGAAATACATGAGCCCAAGGCCCTGCCCTGGGTAGTAGCGCACGGCTGGGTTGGCAGCCAGGAGCCCGTCTGTGATGCTGTTCACCACTGCGCTGAGGTCCTCCACTGCCACCTTCATGAACTGGATGAACTGGCGGTTGATCTCCTCCACGTAGGCCTCCCCGTCGGACCGCAGCGGC